CCGCACTTCTTACATGTAACCCGTTCCTGCACGGATGCAAAAAGAGAGTCGTGAGCCACTTCACAAACTGGCCTACGGTCTTCCGTGCCAGGTACTGGCCAACGGAATTGAAGAGGCCAGGCATTGTCGCGTTGTGTGACTTGCGGCCCCTGTCATCTCAGCAGGTTACTATCGAGTTCACAGACGTGCTGAGTGGTGCCGTGCCTAGGACAGAGCCTTCAGATCAGCTTTGCATTCTGAGGGGGTCTGGCCTGCTGATCATTGCTTTGCAGGAAAGCATAGAGATTTTGCTGCGGCATGGGAGCTTCAGACCAACCCAAGGGTTCCGACGCACCAAGCCACCCGGGACCGTGAAGCTCATATCCTCTTGTGCTTTAAGTGCTCAGATCTGCCCGTCCACAGCGCCGTTTCGGCCCGCTTCCGGGCCTTGTGCCGATGCCGCGGCTGCCTGGGAGCGATGGCAGACGCGGCGAAGCGGCAAAAGGCAGAGGCCGTCACCGTCCGTCACCTTTTTTGCAATGGCACGTCAGCGGCTCCTCGGAGCTCAGCGCAGGAAGCGGATGCGGTGCCTGAGCAGGAGCATCCGCCGCCACCCCTAAGTCTTGAGACAAGTCTTGGGCTTGTTACGGACCGAAGGAGCCACAGGCCAAGAGACAAAAGGCGGGCGGGTGAGCCTATTCCTGCAATGGCATGGCACTGGCCTGGGTGGTGTTTTGAGGCGGAGCAGGCTGACGAGCTCGCCCCGGCGACTCGGCAACGCCTGAAAAGATTACCGTAACGTTTCTCTTTTGCCTGGGCCTGGGCTCCTCTGAGGTAGGAACGACGGACGCAGAGGGCGACGAGGCCGGGAGCCCTTGTGAGAAATAAAGCAGACGCTGCTTGTTGAGCTGAGGAATCGAAAGCAGAAAGTTCCTCCAGTGACGACGAGAGCGATACATCTTCCTCCTCGTCCTCCTCTGACAGCTCTGCAGTCTGGCCGCATGACGACTGTAGGCCCAGGCAGAGCAGGTCTTTTCACGGAATGCAAGCGGAACCCAAGGAAAGCTCCTCAGACGAAGAGAGCGAAGCACCTGCACGGATCCCGGCTTCTGGGAGTGAACTCTCAGCTAGCTTCGGTCAAACTAAGGCAGCCGCAGATGTAGCGGAGACGCCAAAGGAGGCCGAGGTGGCCTACTTCGAGCTGTGTCTGCTTTCACCGTCCATTCGGACTTTCAATAAATTTGAAGATCTGGCTTCCTCAGATGGCTTGCGCAGGATGCGAAGGCCGCGCGCCACCTGGGCACCATTCGGCTGGCACAACTGAAGCGACGGCCTTTGCTTTTCGAAGCTGGCAGAGTGCAGGGCACAGATCACTTCGAAGTCATTGTCTTTGAATGACGAGTCTTTCGCGGGTGTAGTCCTAAAGACAGTACAATTCGTCGCGCAGGTTTCCCTCCCAAGGATACTGAAGTTGGCTTTCCGGATGCTTTGGGTTTTATGTCAGTCTGGGGCTTCTGGTTCTGGGCCCAGGTGACGTTCGGTAACCAGGCGAGGTATAGTTTGCACGGGATCTTAGAAGAGCGACTGCAGAGTCATCGAGACGCAGGAGCCGAACCCCCTCAATTCCATGAAAGTGTTGCAATGCCGACCCCTCCGACATTGTGTCAACCTGTTCGTGTCGTTGCTCCTAGTTAGGGTGGACTAGTCGACCTTTTCGCAGTGAGCGAAGCATGTCATGCGATGATGTCAATGGTTCCTTGTCTCTGCTACAAGCCTTTGCTTTGGCCATGAGACTAGTGGAAAGAGCAGGGATGTAGAACTGTAGAACAAGGGTGGATCCGAGGCGAGGCGAGCTGGTGAACCTGCTTCGTGACTTGCCGCCAGAGGACGGCTCTGCTCTGCCTCTGTATGCTTTCCCTTCGCACTCAGACTTTGAAGGAGCATGACTCGCACATCAAGAGTGCCTTTGTGCTCGTGAAGGCGCCTGAGCAGCGATTCATGCCATGTAGGCTGACTATCCAAGGCTCCACCTGAACTTGAGACCTTTTGAACCCTTTCCCAGCCGAGAAGTTCTCTTGCCAGGTGAGCGAGGAAAATGAGGTCATGGCCGAGGTGGTGTGTGCAGAGCCCTCTGCTGCCTACCATGTCCAGAACCTGGATTTCCCGAAGGAGGCGGAGCACGAAAGCGGACATGTGCATGTGTAAGTCAGCAGCAGGGGGGTCGCATCATGGAAGTCTAGCAAAACGTCGTCTGGTTGATTGGCCCTACTGTAGCATGCCAGGTGCTGTTCCTGCTTCTGTTTTCTCGAAAGCATCGCAGACGGCGTTTGCTTGGCAGGTGAAGGTGCTCAAGTACCAGCTGCGCTGCAAGCGAGGTGGGATCTGGCAGCTTTCTCGGAGTGGGTACGAGGCAAAGGGGGCGTCGCCAGGAACGGCCGAGAAGCTGATCAAAGCCTCGGCTGTGAGCAATGCCATGATCGAGGCCGGAAACCCGCGACTCGAGCTTTCTGTAACCGGCAGACTTCTGGCAGGACAAGCACCTGAAGCAATGGAAAAGCTTGATCAATCGCAGATGCCTCAGGGGCCACCAGGAACCGGCAGTCAAGGGAGTCCCTTTGAACTGCGCTCAGGCTGCAAGATAGACCCCGAATTGATTCTCGACAACATGCAGGAGAGGGCCCAGCAGATATGCAGGAGCCGAGAATGGGATCGGTGCATCGGAGGTTTACTGCTTGATTTCAATGGGAGCCCCGGGTTCCTTCAGGAGCAAGTCCATCAAGTACGATGAAGCAATGGTGGCCCGCATTCTGTCGCAGAAGAAGCAGCTCGTCAGCTTTTGGCAAGGGCACAGGGGCTGTTTCTGCCTCCATGTCTGTCGCTTCTCTTGACGGTCTATGCGGCGCTGCAGCGTGTTGCATGCTGGGCTTGAGGCCGATCGAGTTCGATGCGCAGAAGCAGTCTCGAATGGCTGCTCAGGTGCAGCCTCTCGGCGGCAACGAGTTCTGCTGGCAAGAGCGGGGCTGCCGCCTCACGCAGACTGTCAGGATTGGTTTGACGCAGATGGACATCAGCAGCATCCGGGAGTTTGAAGTGCTCAAACTTGGGAAGGAACATGCTACTTGTCAGAAGGGGACAATGCTTGCACTTGACAGGGGTTCAACTGTTCAACGTTTGGAGCCGCTGGGGCAGACTTGCCGGACAGTCAAACCTGGACTGAGGAAATCGCCAAGCACCATTTGCACCAAATGCAAAGAAAGGAGACGTGCAGGGCTCTGGATATTGTTGCCCATCGAGGCATACCATTTGCCCTCCGAGCATCCCTGCAGTAATTGCCCCCGTATTCGGTGACATATCGTGCTGCCTGGATGAATCTTGAAGAGCAGTACGAGGCATTTTGTAAGAGCAATTGGCCGCAGGAGTACGAGAAACACGAAGAGTGGTTCCAACATGCACGTGGTCTTTTCAGTTCGAGCCTCAGCTCAGCCTTTGAGACGGCTTGAACTTGCCGTGGCAGCTCCCGGTTCTCCACACTGGGATTGGAGATTCGCTGAGGTGCCAAGGAGGTCAACCGAATGAACCACGATCGGCAAGTTCGAGATGACAGACACGCGCTTCAGCCCCTTGGCAGCTATGCAGGGTCGATGCTTCGCGAATGGTCATGACAGAATCCGAGAACCCGTGTCCAGCTCAGGTACGCCCTCGACGAAGAGAGGAGGGAGGACGCCGGTGCAGCAGAGTGCACGAGATGCCCAGAAGCGTAGAAATCCGCAAAGCGCCACAATCAAGAAAATCTTGCATCCGGCAAAGCTTGGGTTCTTTCAGGACGCAGAGACAGGCAGACTGAATCCCTTCGAGAGAAGGCTGGAGCTTTGGAGCTTGGACAGCGCTGTTTGGACGGAAGCCATGTACTAGTTACTAGTCATGTCATTCTCCGGTTTCAGAACTCTCTGTGGTGACACCACCCGATCCGGCGGGTGAACTGACCCAAAGCAACCCCTCGAGGGCCTGCCGTCCAGTGTCAGCCTGGGACACACGGCTCAGCCAAAGCGAGGCGCCAGAGAAGACTTCGTCGTTGATTGACTGTGAATCCGTGTGAAAGATGTCCGAACCCAAGAGGAGCTGGAGCAGTGGAAGCTGGCGAACGTTGCCGGGACCCCGGATCACCCCGATTGGACAGACATGCCCGAACAGGTATGCACATCATCATAATAATCATCATTTATTAATCTGCATTGGAACAACATATCTACCCAGATCAAACTTCTTCCTGTGAAAGGTTTGCTGCTGAAAGCCTAGAGTGCCATTTCAACCAAAACCCGGCTTTCCACCTTCGGGGTCCGACCCGCTGCCCCCGGACTGCATTGTCTTCGGGAATTGAAAGGGGTTGTATACACGATACGTATACATTATGCCTTGAACAGGATGTCCCGAGTTCATTGCAGCATTGCATGGGTGTTGCCGTAAAGAAATTTAGCAACATCCTTGCATCCGATCTGTCTGCAGAGGCCGCGCGTTCTGCATACCACACACCTGACCAGACTAGGCGAACAGCAAAAAGATGCGCATTCGTCACTTCTTGCTAGTTTCACAAGCGAGTACCAGCGAGCTCAAAGAACCCTTGAAGCTTTGAACATCGCCTCGGACCCATTGCCACCACCTCTCCATACAGGCGCTGCGCTTAGAGGCCACGCGCGCTGCGGAGGCAGGAGCTGGGGAGGTAGAAGTCGCAGGAAGCGGGGAGGTTGCCCCAAAGATACCGAAGACACGGAGTTTGAACTCCGTTTTCTGTATGCCGGGATCAGGATGATTGCTGCTTGTGGTTAGAGGCAGAGGAGCAGAATGTTTGTGTCGGCATTGTCGAGCGGCTCGAGCCAGGATTGCAGCATCAGCTTACTGAGCTTTTGCGCTTGATTTCGGCGCAATGCCTTCTACAGGATATGTGGTCCTGGCGTCGGGCGAGGGCGGGCGGGGGAACCGTGCTTCTGCCTGGATGATATTATTGGGCTTGTTGCTGACATGTCTGGTGATGCTACCTAGCCGCTGGGCCCGTCATGCCCGGAGAGTGGTGGATGTGCTCGTCACAAGTCCACCTGTGATCGTCACAACTTGCGGAAGAATACAAGGTCGCTGGGAGGCGGCTGCAGCCAAGTCCATTGCGGCCTTCCGGGGCATCCAGTTTGGCACGGCTATACGATGGATGCCACCCAGCCTCGCATGTCCATCAAGGACAATTGCGACTGCGGATGGCCCTGCGTGCTTCCAGCGTGATCCAAGCCGACGCCATGCTGGCCAAAGCGAAGAGTGTTTGTACCTGAATCTGTTTTCGCCTCCGCTCTGCGCTGCGAAGGGGTCATGTTCTCAACTGCCGGTGGTTGTGTCTCGCTCTCAGCTATGTCTTACCGTGAAGTTTGCAGAGTGGGCCATCGATAAGAGTCCACAGCTAAGCGCATGACACCCTCATTCCGGACCTGCGAGGTTTCTGCATGGTGGAGGCTTACAAGGAGGCGATGCATCTGGATACAACGGTATCCAAAATCTGGTGGCGTTGTCCGGGAACATCATTTTGGTTGCTTGCCAATACCGTCTTGGTGTGCTGGGCTTCATGGCGACTAGCAGACTGTCGGAGAGAGATCCGCGCGGTGTAAGCGGGAATTATGGCTTCTTGGACCAACAGCTTTGCCTCCGCTGGGTTCAACAGCATGTCCAGGCTTTCGGGGGTGATGCAGTGAACGTCACACTGCTGGGACATTCGGCGGGAGCCACCACGATCAATGCGCACTTGGCCGCGCCGAAGTCTGTGGGCCTCTTTCACCGTGCGATCCTCCTGTCCGGGAGTCCTGGAACTCCGAAGTTGTCTCAGAGGGAGAAGGAGCTGCAGGATACCTCTTTGTGGCTGCCGAGCACAGGCTGCACGGACTTGGAATGTCTCTTGAACTGCGACGCAGGCAGGCTCTCGGATTCATTGCCACAGCGCTACAGGCCAGGAAACTCGGAGCTCGTGCTAAGTCCATGCCGAACACCTTTGGGGGCATTGGCTCAGGCACTTTGACCAGAGCGACTATCCCACTGCCCCGGCTCCTCAAGGAATTGCTTGGGCCGAGCTGCTTCACGTGGACGGCGTCTCCATCCCCTGGCCGGCAGCAGAGGCTTTCCTTCGCATCAGAGGTTCTTCTCGAAGCTGCTTTAGGCTGCAGTCCTCTTGTCAGTAGGCCTTCCGCCGCGCCCGCGTGCCACTCGTGATCCAGACCATGGAGGCTCGCTGAAGACGGCGGCGGAGCAGTTAGGAAGTTCGGAAGTTCGGCGCGTCCCTCGCCGCAGGCGGAGATGGCCGGGTCGTCGGCTCCGGGGCTCCCAGACTTTGCAACAGGCGAAGCCTTCCTGGAATTTCTTCGGAGCAGGCTTCGGGAGCTGGTTGCCGCAAGACCGGGAGGTACTGTCCGTACTGTGGCCTGCGGCCAGGATGGGTGCAGGATTTGGGCCGAGCTTTGTCGCTGCTCTGGCTGTAGCCTATGCGGAATTCGAGCCGAACTTGGCAAAGTACGCCCTCGACAGCAACTCGGTGCTCAAAAAAGCCTGGTCAGGCAACCTCCAGCACCTCGAGAACAACGGTCGTGCTGTAGTGAGCCATGAGCTGTGTAGCCGAAGAAACCAGATCCGTGTGATGCGGCTGAGGCGAGACAGGCAACGGTTGCGGCTACAGGGCTCTGGCGCAGCTTGCTGCTGCGGGCGGGAGCCAAGTTCACATGGGTATGGTGAGGCCACGGTTCAGTTTTCGGGGCGTGTCCTGTGCATCTTTGTTGGGCTGGTATGCCCTGCGAGATTCGGCCCAACCAGACCAGTGAGATGGAGATCCGACTGCACGAAGATCATGCACCCGCACCTGAGCACAGAACACTACAGTACAAGGGAGCGCAAGAAGAGCAGTTGGGCTGCGAGCATCGCTTGACCAGAACCGAGGTATCCCTTCCATGGCTGGGAACTTGCGGCTGCCACGGGCGCCTGGAGCCAGCTTTGGTTTGGAGCTTGTGAGGAGTACGTGCCGTCCAGTGAGCGGACTGCATCTGGGTCCCCAGCGGGTGTTGCTTGTGCAGCGTAGCCCGGCACCTACACAGGTGAGGATGCATCCTTCGGGGACTTTCAGAGGACCGCGTGGTTGGCTTTCGTTCGACACGGCAGCGGTGGGCTCTCTGACTTGGGTTGGGAAACTCTGAATGATCGCCAGCCACTTGCCACCTGCCTGGCTACAGGCAGCTTGACTGTGTTGAGCCTGTTAAGATCCCATCAAGTCACTACCGTCAAATGCAACGACATATCTCCAATGAAATTGCACACGCACATGCAAAGCAATGTCTGTGAGGAAGTCTTGGCGAGACGACGCGTTCCTTTACCAGTGCCGCACGCTGTGAGATGTGGGCCCGTCACAACGTCAGCAGCAACTGGTACTGGAACAACCGCTAGCTCGGCTACGTGACGCGACTCCTGCAGCAGAGCAGAAGACTTCACGGTCATAAGAAGTTGCCGAGAAGTGAAGTTGCCGAGAAATGCAGGAAGGGATGCTGAAGTTGGCCAAGAAACTGTGAGGTGAACCTGCTCTTGCAGTGTCCAGGGCCTCATCACCGAAGAGCAGCAGAAAATCGTGCTAGCCATGGGCCTCGAGCTAGAAGGTAGGCAGCCACAAGGTACACTTAAGAATTTAAGGCTGCATCCGCGGTGGCAACTTCTCAGAAATGCCTGGCCGTGTGCTTGATGCAGATTCTAGAAGCGTCCGGCTCCGATTCGTTGTGCCTGGCCCGTGTGCAAAAAGCGGGAGACTGGGGTCTTAAACTGCCGTAGACTCATAGAGTCTATCTAGTCTCGGGAGACACAAGTGCCATGTCATGATATTTTTTCGGTGTATTCAGCGGCTGGCAGGTCAAGCTCAAGGGCGCGACGCAGGCCAAGTAGTTTTGAGAAAGAGTGGATCCGTGGTCAGAGAATCACAGTCTACATGTTACGAAAACTGACATTGCTCAGAAATCCGGAGTCGCACGCCCACTGTGTGTCAGGTACAAGCAAAGAAAGTCGAGGAGCGAGCTTGCCTTTGCAACAGACTACGCTCTTCAAGTGTCGATGTACAGCAGAGCTGCATCAGAACTCAGTGGTATTTGCAAGCGAGTTGTAAGTTTGTGACACACCGAGCTTTTGTCGCAGAGCTTGACCTTCGATGCAGCCGGATGAATGTGCTGTCTCAGGGATGCCTTCGGATAGTGTGAGACTCATGTCAGCCTGCTATCACCTGCCTCATCATCTTCATAAAGTCCTCTTCACCATCATGCGGGTTGCCCACACGACCCAGAAAAGAGCATGAACATCGTGAGTTTGGAATGACAGAGGTAAGGTGGACAGATGGATCATTGAAGGAGCCGCCATCGACGGCTGGCACCAACTCGGACAAAACGGAGGCACAGTAGTGTCAGAGCTAAATTAAATGCACAGACGAGGCCGACTACAGTTATCGCGTTCACATCTTGCAGCTCCGAGAGCATGTAAGCATCTCTGTTACAGTTTTTTCTGTGACAGGCGACGCAGAAGAGCGTGGAGGAGTGGCTGCGGACACTGTAACTGTAACTCTAACTGTGGAACTGAACTGGTGCATCGACACTGCAGGAGCCCTCACAATCGGCTGGGGACACCTCGGACCGGGTCGAGGCAAGCAGCTTTTGGTTTCATTATGATACTTGACCCTGCTCTGCATTGCTGACAGCTTGAAGCCTGTGTACCCCGCGTATCAAGTAGTTTTCGCATTCGCTGTCCTTGGAGAGTGAAGGTTGCGGGGGCCCTTGCGCTTTGATCGAATGTCGAGGCCTTGTAACAACTGTTCAACTGAAGTAAGACGCAGGCTCCGGAGTCCTTGTCCAAACCACTGCAGACTTCTAAGCCGCCTTGCGAGTCACGGTCACAGTTTGAGTGTAGTCGCTGGCTTTCGGCCCGGATGCGGGAGCCACACAGGACACTGCGCGAGACAGCTCCGATGCGGAGAGGCTCAAGGCCCCGGCTGCTCCGAGCGGGGAGAGGGCACAGGGGTGCACCACATGGTCGCATGCGCCAGGTCGACCTCGAGATGCTGGAACTCATGAGAAAACACTACACTGACTACACATGAGTCTTGAGCGTCCAAAAAAAGGCGGCTGCTGCATGCAGGGAAAGCTGACCAACAAGCCAATTATGATATCCATTCTTGGAAGATGCTCAGCTTCTGCAAAGCCAGTCCCCATGGCTAACGTTTGAGGCCGAGCCTGGCACCGGTGGCACCGCGATTTCCTCGCACTCGCGGCCATGGCACAATTTCGCTCACAGGCGGCGACACGAACAGTTTTACGGCTGCATAAACCGAGTAGCTTCAGCCTTTGCTTAGCCTTCACCGCCTGCAACAGTTTTGGCTGCTTTGACACCAGGCCGCTTGTCTGGAGCTTGCCGAAGCGCCTTCGGGGCATGTGGCTCAGCGTGTCTGACATTCAAGGCCAACGTCTGCAATCATCACGAGCTGTGCGAAAGGCTCCGGCTGCACTCGCTGCCGCAGGCGAACCACCTTCCTTTTCAACTGGGGGTGATCGTATGACACAGGAATAATTGTCGTCGCGTTGACGATCAAACCCGGTCGGAGGCACTGCGGATCCGGCTTCCTGCCAGGGTGGCGGCGGCGCAGGAGGAGATTTTCGAGCTCGTTTGGCACCCGTTGGCTTGCGGTAATTCTCGTGGCGGCGTGGCGTATGAGCTTGTGGAAGGCCAGGCTTATGTCATGTTTGTGTCATCACTATCTGCCCCCGCTCTGCGGCTCTGGATCTGGTGCACTGAGCTGCTTCATGAGCTTGACCAGTCCTAGACACAGGAGCGACACTGATAAGACACCAGAGCATGCTGGCGCGTGCTGGCCACAAAGCGTGTCGCTTCATGATCCGTGTGAAGGAAAACCCTAGCACATTATATGCAGTATGCAAAGAACAGAGTCACGCTTCTTGACCGCGCACGCTGGGTCAGATTCAAGCAGGCCCACAATACACTGTAGCTACCATGCCATGAGCAATGTCCTCGACAAAGGGCGAGGACCCTCGGCTTTGAGCTTCGACGTCATCAGACGTCAGAAGATGCCTCCTTTCCAGGACACCGAGCTGGGCGGATCCCATGTGGTTTTGGGCTTAGCCTCGGAGGGCCGTCTTGCGGTCTTGGTCTAACCGAGAGCATCGGCTCAGGTCGCTTCCGGTTCCGAGCTGCCTGGAGCCGTGGGCAGCACCGAGGTCCCCAAAAGCAAAAAAAAGAGAAGTGAACGCTTTTTTTCTTTTGTTCGACGGAGTCGGAGCCTCTGCAGGGCCAGGCCCCGAAGCCCACGGTGCGCGTTGCCTCGCCAGAGCCGGAGGCGGGAGGGTTACCCGCAGGGCGTTTAGGCTTCGCCTTGCAGTCCCGAGTCACTTTGCAATCTCGCAGGCGACATCGGTGTCTGTAGCACCTCCTGATGATGCGCCGCCGAAGTGCGCAACACGGCAAGGAAAGCCTCGGACCGTCCGTTTGGAGGATTTTCACTCTTCTTCATAACACGAAAGTAGATTGTGCAGCAGTGGAGTGGGCCTGCTATCGTGCCAAGCCTCAGGCATCTCCGAACAGCCATGGGAAGTCCTACATCGAGCAGAAGATAGGTCACCCGGCTCACTGCTTTTTATGGTCGGAGCTTGCCAAGAGTGCAACCATTGACAATTGGGCTGTGCTTCGGTGTCCCCAACAAAAGTTGCATGGGACGTCATGCGAAGAAGCAGCAACGGTTACAGTTGCAAGCAGCATCTTCTACGAGCTTCAGGTGCTTGGGTGTCCTTTAACACCCTGCATTCTGATGCGATGAGCACGAACATGGAGGCGCTTGTCCTTATCTGAGAGAGCATGGATCACAGTCAGCTGATGAGAGGATCCCTTCCCAAGCGTGAGCTGGCAGTGGGAGCACCGGAGTGGCCTTTTGGGCAGCACTGCTTCAAGTTTTCCGCATGAAGCGGCCAGTGCTGCACGGTCTTTTTACTTGGTCCCGACTCTCTCTGAACTGAGGTTGGCGAGACTATCCCCGCAAAGTGAGCACGAAGATCGAGCAAGCTTATCGTGCCGGGGAGACCAAAACCAGGGTGCAGACTGGAAAGACGCTTGGCATGCTGCTGCTGGCTGTGTCGTCGTGCACTGTTCTCGCAGATTGACGGACGGGCGTGCGTTTTCAGGAAAGGATCCGTACCCATGGAGATTTTCTTTGAGGCTGGTCACTTCAATCGCAGATTCAATCTAACAGCTCGCATCAATTGAACAGGACATGCTCCAGCATGACCCCATCTCTGGCAACACCCGGAACGTGAACCGGGCAGGTGATTTTTCCTGCAGACGCTTGTTGAAGGACATCTGTTGGTGACTATTCCTGTGCAGTCACCCGCAAGTGTTTCTTGTTGAGTTTGGTTTGTGTCATTCCTACGGAGTTGTGAAATTGGTGCTCGCATGAGCCTTCGCATGTCGAGCGAATCTTGCGTATCCAAGGACAGAAGCTCGTGCGTTTCCTGGGCAGCATAATCAGGACGCCGGCTTGAAATGAGAACAGCATAGGGGACGATGTTGTAAACTGCCACAGGTGGTATTCAGCAACATACCTTCCAATTGCGCCCACCAGCCACAGCTTGGAAGAACGCGCCGGGAGTCAGGTATACCTGCCTACCAGCGGAAGGGAGTGCATGAAAGCAGCGCATGCTCTGAACACATCTTGCGCAGGGACAACACAACCTCGTGATTCACCCGAGAGCTCAAGACAGGGTTGCTATGGAATGTGCTTCTCACGCAGTCTCGCAAAGCCGACACATCATGAATCTGCCATGTGATGGGCATACAGACCGTTTGCCTGGCACACCCCAAAGAAACCAGTGGAAGAGAGCACTCAGGACACCATTCACAATGGAATTTCGCCATATTTGCGAAGCGGCTGTGTCCGTTGAACTGGGATTGAGACCATTGCAACAGGATATGCGAGGAGTTCCTACATGCGGGTTGCCAACCGTGATCCCGGGTAGCTGGCTAATCAGCGTGCATTTGTGCACACAGCTTTCTGATAGAAGGTCTTGCCCAGTTGGGACATCTAAAATAAAATCGCGTTGTGGAAGCTGCTTTGTTTGCAGTTGCAACGTGGTTCATACATATCAGACAAGAGTCAGTAAGCTAATTAATCCTGAATCCCAACAGGTGTTGTCCAATGAATGTTAGAGTCTTAGACATTAGAGGTTCAACGTATTTATGCATTCCAAGTGTGGACTTTGACAAGCGTCCTTCTGCACATTTCCAGGACGCTGGAGACGGGCAAACCTCGGAAGGCGAAGATGCACCAAAACCTTGGGCTAAGTGCCATTCCTTGTACGGTCTGACCGCGAGCGCTGAGTGTCCGGGCCGGGCGGATCGGATTCCAGGATGTGTTACATACTCCTGCAGGAGCGCTTCCACGATTACCAGAAGAGGCGCAAGAGGCACGTGGACCCAGATGCACATCAGGAGCCACATGGAGCTCTCATGAGCCGTTTTCAGCCCGAGCCAGCCAACCCTGAGATTCGGTTGAAATAGGTTTTAAGGCTGGTCTTGGATGTTTTTGGGAATCGCAGGAGCCGGTGAAGGAGAGTCCCTATCACAACGGCTGCTGCGGGCTGGTCGCTGGAAGCCCCGTCTTCTTCTCTTGCCACTGGGCTTCCACAGGCACTGGCCCCTGAGGCCCTGGGGTTTTGATTCAGATTCAGGTGTTGGGCGTCGTTGCCTGGGGAGGTGCAGTCCTCAGGTCGTGAGGTTGCAGCATGCAAGGTTCGATGGGCATGGTCATCGCCTATTGTTTCTGGCTTGGCATTGAAGCCGCAGCTTGCCTGCACTATGCTTGCTGCCTTCGAACTTTGTGCTCTGGGCCTTCAGTGTTCGGTCAGGACAACAACACGCACAAGTCGCACTCCCTCTATCAAGCCGAGGCTGAGAATTGTTGTCAAAGGGTTGCTGAGTACGCAAGCAGGCACTGCTTTCGATAAGCGAAGAACCGAATCAAATCTCGAAAAGTCGAACTGCTAGAACGTTTTAGACTTTTCCTCTTCTCGCGTCTTCGGAAAATGGGGAACTTCCTGCGCGTTCCGCTCCTTCGGTAATTTTTGGGCTTTTAGGCTTTTAGACTTTTCGCGTTTTTCTGCGCATCTCTACCTTTCAAGTTTCTAGGCTTTTCGACTTTTCGCACTTTTCTGCGCTTGTTCGCAGTTTTATGTATTTTTTGGGGTTTAAGGCTTTTCGAATCGTAGCGTTTTTCTAAGCTTTCCGAACTGTTCGGTAGTTTTCGGCTTTTCGACTTTTCGTGTTCGGCTACAATTTTCTATCTTTTCAGCTCCAGGACAGGCTAGGGGCAGAGCTACTTTCTCTTTCGAGGCCAAGCGCCAGAGGCCTGGGTCTGGACGGCGGGGCAGGGGGAGGCAGGCCAAGAGGTTGGGCTGGAGAGGGGTAAGGGATATGGGACTTTCCGAAAATAGGGGGTACCATATTTTGGGGTCCTTATTATAAGGATCCTATTATTTAGGGTACTATATTAGGGTCCCCTATTTTCGGAAACCTTCATGTAAGTGTAGGTAGGCATGGGGCTGGGCTAGGGGAAGGCCTGAGGCAGCTGCAAAGCGAGTAGCAGGCGGCAGTAGTAGTCGTGGTAGTACTTATGCCAGTTGTGGCAGAAGTTTGCAGCAGTTTCGAGCTAAATGGCAAACTTGTGGAATTTCGGGTTCCGCGGTTCCGCCCAAGCAACCGGTAAGTAGCCAACGCATCGGTATTTTTGGCTGGGTCTTTTAATGTTGATTGACATATTGGGTCTGTAAATCACCAGTTAACTAGCTAAAAAAATGTGGAATCGTTGTTTGTTGTTCGGGTCTTAGGAGCATCACAGTTGCAGTCAAGACGTGTTTTCACTTTAGGTTTTGTTCAAAATAGGCATATTTCCATTGCTCGGTTTTGGGATACTTCGGCTGATTGCTAACAGGCTTGGGAAATGCAGGCTCGCAAATTTTCGTGACTTAGCAGCCAAAAACACCTAGATCGAACGGAACCACGTGTTTTGTTGTATTTTCCGGATTTGGGCTTCCCAAAACGGCAACTCTCAATGAGCTTTGAGCATCTCGTGTGTCCGCAAGCACCAAAGAGTGATCAAGACACAGGCATTTAGATCTAGTTTTCGGCTCTGGGGCGCCAAGCAAGAACCTTGCGCATAGAGGCATCTTCGATTTTTCTAGTCCGAGAAACGCTGAGAGGCAAGTTTCGGTGAATTTTGAGCATCTCGGTGGTTCCGACAGCACCAGAAGTGGACAAGACTTGGGTATCTGGGCGTGTTCTTCGTGTCTGGAAACCACCAAACGGCAACTTCTGCTGAGTTTGAAGCCATGTCGGGTTTCATCAAGGCCATCAGCCAATTCGGCTTTGACTGTTCGAGTTTTCGCCTTTTTGTGTGCCTTTGGATTTTTAGCATTTTCTCGACGTTTCGCGTTTTGCTGTACTTTCAGACTTTTCGTGCGTGCGTGTCGACTGTTTGCGTTTTGCCGTACTTGTCGATTGTTTGCGGCTTTTAGACTTTCTGGTTCTCCGCGCAAGTCTTTATCCAAAGCCACTTTGCAACGTTCGCTTTTCGGCTGTTCGCGTGCCGTTTGGAATTCTCCG